CAGGAAAGGGCAACTGCATTGCAGGGATGGGTATATTTTGTTCTCCTTCCTCTGTTCATTCATTTTGCTGCTGAAGGCTTGCGAAGCATCGACGTGCAAAGAAAATGCCTACCCATGGCTCAAGTGCAGAGAGAGAGCAAACATCAGTGCCTGCACCTACCCGTGCTCCAACACCACTGTCCAAAGCGAATAATGATCAAATAACCTGTACCATGTTACGGAGGGAATGAAACCCCCCCCTCCAAGACAGCAGAACGACTTAATTAAGCTTTCTCCTGCGGGACAGAGCTGTTGTACCATCCTATAGAGGAAGCAAAGGACTTTTGCTGCGGTGCTGCAGCGAGCGGGGAGGCAAGCCAGGGGTCCCGACTCCACACACTCTGCAGACCATCAGACTGCACTGTGAGCAGGCAGTACCAGCTGGAATGGGCCTTGGGTTGTTTCATGGGGGGGAAGGGAAACAATAGTAGCCAGTAAATCTCTCCCGCACAGCTGGATTTAAGCGTCCCCAGCTGTATTACTTCCCCGGCAAATAGTGTTCATTTGTTCATTCATTCTTACTCTCTCATTGATTTACCCGCCTAATTTATAGTATACAAACTCTTAAAGGTATGGATTTTGGCATCTTACAGAACAGCAGCAATGGGCAGGGGAACCAGAAAACGGCACTGGCAGACCCCCAAAGCTGGGGACCCTCGCAGCCTACCTCTTCCCAGCAGGCACTGGATTAGCCCGGGGTATAACTCAGGGGAGACGTATTTCATCCCATCTTCGATATTTACACTCAACTGCTACTTTTCTCAGGATTGATACACTAGAATAATTTAAAAAGAAAAAAAAACCCTGATTCCAGTTGAGTCCTATTCTATACCCTGATATCTTATGCTCCCTTTAAAACCACTGACATCTTCCCCTCCCACTTCCCCCCCCCACCACACCCCCCGAGGATCCTGATGTTGCATTTTTCTCCGAACAAAGGCTTTCTGAAAGTAGGAGGCCCTCGGGCTGCCTACTGCTACCAGCACTGGCTCCCCCTGCAACCCCACTCGATCAAACTATGCTACTCTCATTAGCATTAATGTCAAAGTTGTTCCCACCATATAGACTCTGCTTATTATTGCCTTTAACAGAAGGAATTATACACCAAAATAATAATACCCAGGCTGAAATTAAGCTCTGTTGTTTTCATGCCATTGCTAACATATCCAGAGCAGATTTATTAAAACCATGAGTCAACCCCTGCCAGAAACTCGAGACATTGCTTGCGAATAAGCAACTTTGGTGTTTATTCCTCCTGCCTTCTCATCTGCTGAGCTGCACTAGGAAAGGGTGCCTTCTGATAAGCAACATGTCAGGCTAATTATCCACAGAGATTTCAAGCTGCATATTTTCTCTCTGGACTAATATAACCCAGATGTGGGAAAGGCATGGTTTTAATCAATCCTTCTATACATCCCATGACACTCGGCCACATGTGCACGCATAGGTATGTCCATCACCCAGTAAAATAACCACGTTGTACACGATTAATAAGCTGGCTGTCACACGCAATTTTGTTTGTGCTCCTTTTATAGGATTTTAGTGCTGCCTCCAAAACAAACTGGTAGTGGAAAACAAGAAAGCATTTGCATTTGCAAGCGAAACAAGTAAATACACTTACTCATTATAGAGCGCTCCTTCCACAGCTACACAGGTTTGCCTAATAGGTTGAGCATGACCCTCAAGTAGTTTCACTGCAGGTAAAAAGGGAAGATTAAAAGCTATATACTGTCTCTATACTTTTATATAAGAGCTTGGGAACCAGATGGAAACCAGCTTTCCCTCCGGCACGTGGATGGCCATGTAAAAGGGAGATGCCACCAAAGCCTGTGCTAGAAGCTTTGGTGCGGCTGTGCTGCTCTACAGCCACCCAAGGGCTTTTTTTCCTGAAGCAAGTGACAGAGCCAGGCCGTGTGGTGAGGACAGAGCCCTGCATGAACTCCAGGGCCATGTACAAACAGCACACCGAAGGGCGCAGGATGCCGAACAGACAGCTGCTTTTCGTCTCTGGTGACACCCGAGGTCAGATGCTGTTATGGCTGCAGCGAGCAGAAGCGGGTTTGCCTCCAGACCATACTCCTCCGGTAGGGATATTCTCAGTATCTAACCTGGATTCAGAGAGCTAAAGGAAACGGCTCAATGCACCATCACTTCACGTGGATTCCCAGCCATGCCAGTGGTGGCTGCACTGGGAACCCCTCCATTTATCAGCCCCAGCCGAACCAAGATGCTCCCCAGCCATGAGCATCACTGCTCAGCCATCCGAGGGTGCTCTCGGGCAATTGCTGCCAAGACCTTGCTCTCTCAGGGGCAAACAGATCTCAACAAGCTCCCCCTTACCTCTTCAGCTACCTTCTTAGCTGAGGGAAGAGATGGGTAACGAACCCTCCCGGTTGGTGTGATGCAGAGGAGAGCAAACCCACCGCTAGCACCACTGCTCTCCTTCGGAGGAAGCCACTGCACCCTCCTCTCCTCACCGGAAAACAGCAGTGGCCAACGATACCAAAACCAGCTCCCTCACTTTCTGGTCATCAGCTTGTTGATCACGTGAAGAATACGCAAGAGTTTCAGCCTAGCAAATAAAACATGCAGGACTTGAAGATGATCAGAAACACATTCTCAACAATTAATGAAATAGATCCATTCCTTTCCTTTTCTTTGACCCTAGCTAGGGGGATTAAAAGATGAAGCAAGTGCCTTTAAGACAGGAATGAAGTAGATGCTGGATGGGAAGCAGGACCTGTACAGAGTAAAACACTGCCTGTTAGCAGACACTCCCCTGACTGGGGTGACAGCAAGAGGAAGGACAAGGCAAACCTCAACAGAACTTGGGGAAAAAAAAAAAAAAAGTCACACCATGGACTGACTCTAATTCTAAATTGCATGAGAGGTAGGTGAGTCTCGAACCAAGACGTAATTAAGCAAGATGTAAAACAGCAAACTTGATGATCTTAAAGGTCTTTTTCAACCCAAATGATTCTAAACTTCTTTGCTTTCTTCAGGAAGACAGCAGTAAACAGGATTACTCAGAAGCTTGGTTTTCTCAGCTTTTTGTGCAGCAGATTTTTCTTCTCACATTAACTGCCTGCTACTCACTGATTTCTTAAAAAACAAAAAAGTCCAAAACCCAATAACTAAATATGATTAACAATGGGCTTCATAGGACTTGCTGCTTCAGTGCTGATGTTCCTCTTGCCCTACCTACTGTGACCACCACAGGCAGAGACCGGCTCGCTGGTAGCGTGGCTGGGGAACACAGGAACCAGGCAACAGAGTAGGTGAGAATGGAAGCATTAAAATACAGTGTCTAAAACACCAGAGCAATGTTTTCCAATGGAAGTATCTTTGTTGTTGTTGCTTAAATGATTCTTACTCTTCTAATTCAGCTGTTTGAAAGTCTTTCTGCAGCTTCTAAACCCACCCCTGCAGTATCCTGAGCAAACACTGAGATAGCTAGAGCCCTTAATACTCCACTGCTAGCCTTCAGAGCCAGCCTTTTCCCTAAATTATCCCTTTATTTTTCATTTGAAAAAAAAAAGATTCTGAGTGTTGCAGGAAACAGTTCTATGTTTCAACTTGCTTGGTATCTGACCCAATGGAAAACCTGCCCTGAGTCCTCTGGTTATTAACAGAAATCTTAAAATAGCATTATTATAAGTATTCCCAAATATTTCTGTGTTTACTTATTATCACCATATTTTCAAAATGCCCAATGACTGCACCACTGTTTTCTTAACGCCAGGCAGCCCTAATGTGCTTAGGACAATCTTGACAGCTGAGAACGCAACAGCCATTGGCATCTTAGGTAGAGTGGGTTCCCCTCTGTAGACTACAGCAAAGAGGACTGCTCTTTTATTTACCCCATTTTAATTTCTTTTCAGCATGAGAGAATAGGAAACCAGGAGATAATTTCAAAACTATCTGCAAAGTATTCTATAAAAGCACAGAAATGAACTTTTTTTTTCTTTTTATATTTTGAACAGTAATATAAAAAATATGACATTGGTTCAAAAGTCAGATAAGCTCTGTTTTGACAACTACAATTCTTTTATTGGACGTATTTTACTAAGCATTGAACACTTGTTTCTGTAGGCACAGATTTAGGAAATAACACCACAAAATCAAAAGGATAAAGTGCAGACCTGTACTGAGAAGCAGGCCTGGTAAGTCAATCTACTCCTACAACTCAGCAGAGAAAAGAAAGAGAAGGGGAAAAAGCCTGCAGTTGTAAGAGAAGAAGTATATTGTAAATTATGTCCTGTGGTAAAAGAACGATACAACCTTTCCTGCAAGGTCCAGAGCACTGGAAAACCCAGGTCCCCTGTGTACAAGCACACCATGTTTGTTGCAGGAAATACTTTAAGTTAGACTTTGGCTTACACAAGTGGTTTATTTATAAGAAAACTTAACAAAGGTGTACGGATTAAAACAGTTCTCTTAACGCCATTTCTTTATATATTTCAGAACTATATTTCAGAATAAAAAATTATGCACTTAAAAACAGGCAACAACCTCCCCCCAACACAGTAAGTTTCAGCAAACAGCAACCAAGAAGGAGTGAAAGGGGGAAGCCAGTGTGAGTCATGACTTTAAGCGATGGTCTTTGCCAGATCTCAAAAATTCCTGCTTGCATCAGAATTTTCTCCCTAAGGAGACTCAGGAGATAAAACAGTAAATTCAACATGTCCGTATCTTTCCCCGTCTCACAAGAGCAGTTTTCTACAGTTCTTACTTACAGAAAAAAAAAAAATATATATATATTTCCAGAGCCTATACGCATCCAAAAAAAAAAAAAAAAAGGCAGAAAAACAAGAGGGAGAATAAAAACTAATATAAGCTAAAACATTATTTTGTAGTAAACAATAGAATATAACGTGCAATAGTGCAATTTCTCCTTTGCTGCTCCAACAATGAAGTCTTCGTAGATAGTCCACTGCATGTCAACGTATGGCGTCCCACATCTAACTACGTGCTTGTCGGGCACTGCTGGGTTTGCCGGGCTTTGGAGCCGAGTCACTGTGTCCGGGCTCTCCCTTCCCCTTCCCGAGGTGGCGGAGTTTCTGGTCCCAGCGCTGCATATTGAAAGGCAAAGAGATTACAGAGGAAGGTATAAGTTGTATGTAAAGCAACTGCATGTGTCTACAAACAGCAGCAAAAAAATAAAAGCCGTCGCTGTTTCCACTGCATTACCCTCCATTGGGCTCAAATGGTAGAATGTGAGGTTATCAGTAAAAGTCACTTTAAAAAGAAAAACCATTTCCTGTAGCCTCTGTGAATGAAGGGGCTGATACAAAGCATAATGGCTTCAGCAGAAAATAATAAAATGCAAATGAAGCTTTCTGTGCAATCTCGGGGGGGAAGCAGGATGAAAAACAGTCAAGTGGTTTTTATTATTTTTTTTTTAAATATTATTATTTATTTTTAATTTTCTGGGTAATAGCAACTGCGGTACAAAAAGACATAATAAATGCAGCTGGTACAACTGATGATGCTTTTGGAAAAGGAGACTGAGGTGCGAAGTGGGTGGCGATGTGGCATGGTCCTCGGCAGCCCCAGGCTGAGAGCAAGGGCAGAGCACCGTGGGTTGTGGGGCGCAAGGAAGTAAGTAAAGAAGTCAGTCAGCTCCCCCCCCCCAAAACCCAACAAATGACACTGCCACCTCAGAACTGGAACTAAGCAGATGCCAGCCCACAACATTAATGTGGTATTTGCTCTACAGCACTGGATTTCATCAGGTTCTGCCAAGTCAAACAACTTGGAATAAGATCCCCATACCTTTTCACTTCTGTGGATGTGACAAATGCACACAGAAAAAACTTGCATTTGTAATCAGAACAGTATTTTCCTGCCAGTCACCATGAAGGCTGTTGAAGAAAGTTGAGTGGAAGAGGTGACAGGTTTGCACAGGCACAACCATTATGTCAAATCGACGGCTGAGAAATTTTGTCAAAATAAGAATATTCTGTGTAAAATGACACTCCTAACAACACTGAAATCGCTGATACTTTGTGCTGCATCAAAACATAAAAACGCAATCCTTCCAGAACTTGGAAGGCATTAGGATACATTTAAATTAGATAGCATTAGAATGTATTTTCATATATTGCTTGCGTTTGAGCTCATTGCTTCCCATTCACTACGACATGATTTCCTTACCACGTACCTCCCTCATCGAAGCCAGAAATGTAAATTTAAAATAGTTGCTAATCCACACAATTTGTTAAGAGAACTGTATTTAAAGAACATTAAATCTGAGTAGTTCTGACTTAGTCTGGAAAACATTTGTAAAGCCCTCTTTTTTTTAATTGGCACCACAATCCCAATTAAGCAGGTGTGTGCTGCAGAATGCACAGTTTGCCTATGAAGCTAAAACACTCCTACTGTTTGCTTTTTTGAGAGGGAGGTTTTGATTGCTGCTACACTGCCATACATTGGGGTAATTCAATGCACCCCTTCAGTGTATTTGGCATACATTTCTCAGTAATATAGCAAATAACAGAGCGAGTTAATTTTTGATACTTGATATTAATTAACTGAGGTCAGCACGAGTATTTTCTTCCTTTATTTTGAAAAGATTAGGTAGATGTTTCATGGTATCTGCAACACTTGACTTTTGGTGAGATATTTTCTTACCTTTACTTTTTTACCAAGACGATCCTTCCATTTCTCGGCTATGGAGCCTTCCACCAAGAGTAACCTGCACAACAGAGACAACCAGTTACTCCATCAACAGACATGCACAAGCTACACAACCCAACCCATGCCAGACTGAGATCTCTGTGCCTGCAGAGAGCCTTGTTCCCCCTGAATACCACTAAGGAGCCGTACAGAGAGTCACACCGAGTTCTCCTTAGCTGGTAGCTCTGAAGTTCAGCTTTACAGGCAGTGGAACAAACAACAACAAAAGTGTTTCAAGGGCAATGCAGAAAGTTACCTGGAGCGCTCCTCGTCTTCGTAGCCCATAATGATGTACTCTTCGTTGGCGTTGAGTGGTGGGCACAGGCAGCCGGAGTTCGTGTGAAGGTTTACAGTGTCCTTTGGGATGTTCACCAGGGAAGATTTTAGGATCTCCTTTACTTCCACTACCGCAGTGACGTCGTGACATTTAGTCTTCACCTCCTTCACTTTAGCTCGAATGACTGGGAAAAAGTCACAAAGAGTATAGTTAGCAGCAGCAGATAATGCAGGTCACTCCCAAGCTGTTCTTGGTGACCTCTGGGATTAGTCTTTTGCATGGTCCATTATCAAAAGCTTAGCTGAACTCCAGCAATGTCCCTGCCCCCATCTCTTCACTTCTTCATCCTCCACCAAGAGGGTGCAGGTAGCTCAGTGCAGTATGGTCACAAGCAGGAGTTCTGTACCAGTGGGATTTGCGTCCTATTTAAATTAAGCTTAATTTTTGGCATCCTTTCTTCTTCACCCTTTCCACTTTATATATATTTGATTCATTCCTTGCATGCTCTCCTCCTCCCTCAGGCTGTAACTGCTCCCTCTTTGACTACTTGCAGTACGGATGACCAGACTTAATTTGTCCCCCTCAACCTTTCACTAAATGTGAATGTGCATTAAAACTTCTTGTATCACTACCTCTTCTGGATGACAGGCCCTTACTTTTTCTATTCTCTCTCCAGTGACCCATCACCAATCTGCTCTGCTCTTTATGAACTCCAAACGCTCCTGATCTTGACCTGATGACCTGTTTAATTGTTTCCTCCCTCACACTTTCTTTTTGCCTTAAGTTGCACAGGAGGGAAAGTTGCCTTTCAAAGGCAATGCTTTTCGTTTCTCTCATGGTGACCAGTCAACTGATACCACATGCAAATGCAAAGCCAATCCAGAGGTCATGCTCTAAAGAATGCTACATCTTTCACAGCTTGCAAACAAGAGTCCCTTTCCATTAGAGATAGCAGATTCCCTGGACTCAATCCCAATTTCTTCTAACCTGTGTGAAAAAGGTAATAGGGAAGAAAGAAGACTCATACTGCTCTTTTCTTCACATACATTGACCATAAAGACAATCAGCCAGCATGCACTGCAGCCACATGAAATACAGCTGCCAACAATTAATAGCTGTTATGCATTTAACATACACAATTTACCCCATCCTTAAAACCTCTTAAGATTTCAAACCAAAATCTTGCTTTAGTTTGGAGTTCTTTCAAATGCATTTTGAAACCTCTTCAATTTCAAAGGCTTGAAAAGCTAGGCAATAGCACGCTCAGCAACTCTCTGCCATGTGCAGGTGTGGTACCCATTAAAGAAAGTCACTCTCTGAAGATTCCCCCAACAAATCCACCAAAACAACATAAAACCGACTGGTCACCTAAAAAATAACAACAATGTTTGACTGAATGCAATTGTAACTTTTTAGCTTTTAATGGGAGTTATTTTTCAAAGAAGCTTGTCTGACAATAGCTGTATAAATGCATAATCTTAATAAATATTACACAATTACTAACACTTAAATGAAGTCTTTACGTTCAGTGAGCCTAAGGCTATTCACATGAGTGAATAAGGAAAAAGGATGGGCCCAATTGTTCAATTCCTGTGACAGGTATTCACGGGTTTCATCAGCTTCATTTGCTTAAAACAAACAGTATGAAGAAAAGTGGCAGCCTGGACCTCTGAGATCCCTGAAGACCAGGACAACCTGGACAAGAGAGAGCATAACATGTACACCGTGCACTTCCACAGGCATTACTGACAGCGCAACACAGCCAGCAAGATGCTCATTGCTGGCTTCGATATGCGAAAAGAACCTAGTATGCCTGTTAGCTCCCACGGTGCGTTTGTAGGCAGGAAGGTTAGTAAAAACATCCTTTCCTGTGAAAGCGGAGCATATTGGAGCTGGGAATCAAAGAGGCAGTTCAGGCATAGCAGCCCACAGCGCCGTTTCTGCCACATCACTTTTCACACTAAAGAAGCGCACGAAACCCAGGTGCCTGCCCTGACACTGAAATAACACGCCATGTCAACAAAGACACTCCTGTACCAACATATCAAACTAGTCCCCTCCATCCCACTAATTTGGAAATGTTTCAGGCCACATCTTCTTTCTGCAATAAGTACTAGTGGATTAACGACCAGTGACTGGGAACATAAGCTTTTTTAATGAAAATTTTTCCCCCTACTTTAGCCTTAAAAACGCGAGGGGCTGGCCACCCAGCTGTCCTTACCATAGTTATAGTTGTTGCGCAGATAGGTCTTCTGGGTAGCTTTTATAGGCTTGCACTTGCAGCGCTCTAGAAGACAGAAACTTTTGTTTAGAAAGAAAAGAGCATACGTTCAGTGACAATCTCCCCAAAACCCCAAGCTCACGCCTAACAGAAATTGCACCGAAGTGCCTTGTTTATTACAGGCAAGTGAAATATTAAAACCCACAAGGTATTCTGGTCTGCTCTGCTGGAAGATGTTGTGGAACTGTCTGTGAAATCTCAAAGGTTTCTAGGAGAAAACTTGACATGCTGAAATTTGAAAACCAAAACAAAACCAAAAATACTACAACCAGCTAACCCCACAACAACAAAGATACAAGGAGTTGGTATCTAAGGCAGTAAGATCTTCCATTTTAAGCCAATTCAAGGTTCAGTCTTGATTTCTTCTGTGCTCGCAGGTGCTGCGATTCCATATCCTTACGATGCTGTTCTCTCTTCTGTACTACCCTTCTGAACTCCCCCTGTTTTGCACCTTTAATCATACAGATCGTAACACAGACACAGAAAGAAAACACTACAACAGAGTGTGATTTAACATTTGATCGGAGACTACACATCTCTGCTCAGTTTAACACAGTGGGATGTTCCGGCTAGCAGGCATTCACCATAAGGAATATGATTTTTGTGGCTAATCTCAATGTACAGTCTGTCTCTGGAACTGCACCGTAAGATTTCTTACAGCGTCACAGCCCCTTTACACCTAAAGATGTCCAAGGGTGACAGCCACCAGATGAAGCATGTCAGAGAGTGGTGGGACCCAGTGGCATGTGGCTCCCTGCTCTGAACGCCACTGGGATGGGACCCACAGAATGAAACTTAAACCACGTTTCTTCAGTGGTGACTGGGAGGAGGTTTAAGAGAGATTAAGTTTAAGATTAAGAGGCTGAAGGGCCTTGCTTGACTATTGCAAGTGTTTAGTGTTATCTTTGATCCTGCTCTGGACTCTCCCTCAACTAATAAAGCCAGCCTTGAGCAAATGGCCTTTGACTGAACTGCAGATTAGTCTTTACCAGACTCGGTTGGTTTGTTGACCCAACAGCTTCACGCTCTATGCAGGACTGACCTAGACAGAGATTTTAGAGCACTGCATGGAGAATATTAAATACTGGCACGTTTGTATTTGATCTTACCAATTCTGTGACAAACCAAATCAAAAAAGGCATCTCAAACATAAGAGTTAGTGGAGCTGCCCGGAGAGGCTACCACCAACCCTTCTGATAAATCTATGCCGTGGATCATCAGACCTGAGTATAATTTAAGCCTACGCCACACATGTGGAATTCAGACACAGGTAATAACAAACACGGGCCTTGGAGCCACCCTGCTGTCTGGGTTTGCTGTATAAAATTATGACTCAGAACTTCGTGTTTAATTAACACAGGGAAATTACTAGCCCTGAAGGATGGTCTTCAGAAGACAATAGGAACGAGCACTGTCAGAGCAACATTTCCAGTGGTGCAGCTTCTAGACTGCTGGGAACCACAGCAGAGGTAAAAACGCTCCCATTCGTGCCCCAGGGAGTGCCAGGCAGGACTGAAGCTCCAGACCCACGCATTCATTAACACCACTGATATTTGATGGCTGGTTGTGCTAATGCAAATATTTACTTACTTCAAGCTAGTGTGTAAGTGGAGTTTGGTGGAGTCGCATGGTCAAGCCCAGCTGACTGGTATCTCCCCCTCCAAGCCCACCACTTGCACCCATTGCCAACAGCAGGTCCCAGTATTACGTGTATGTGGTCATCTATTTTGACATTTGACTTGGCGTTTAAGTGGAAGCAGACTTAATGCAGCCTATTTCTATACACCACCGCTCTAAAAGAACAATGCATATAAGCTAGTGACGTAGTTAAATCCAGCATGAAAGGTTTGGACAAGAACTTTTATTTGCTATATAAGATTTCTGCATTTAAAAAAAAAAAAAAGATGGCATCACGTGGTTATGGACTTCTCAAATCTTTACCTATTTTGTATTGAAAGAATTTTTGTATTTGAAAACACAAAAAAAAATAGGGGAAAGAGGAGAGCATTTCAAAAGAAGAGGATATTGTTTCCTTGAATTTCAAACACATCCTCAGGAATCTATATATGGAGTCCTACAGACTTCAGCTTTTGTATGAGACTGTCTTAAAATAATAAAGGCAGAGAAGGGAAGTGATTTTTGGCTTCCCTTCTGCCTGTGGGAGCTCATGCATACTTTAGGCCAAGTTATGGCCCATTTTATAAGCTGCCTCGAAACAGGCCATAAAAGATGTGTTCCTATGGACCCGCACTCATGCAGGCACCTCAGCGTTCACATCCAACAAGTCGTACACTTTAACGTTCTCCTGCTCGACAGTACTTTGCTCTGTGGCACAAGTAGAATAAAATAGTCTAAATTACAAGACAAGAACACACAGCCTCACATTTCCCTCAATTTTAAGACAGCATTGGATTATTTTATTAATTTGAGGAATATGTTTTATTAGTCTTGTTCTAGAAACAAATTATAGACCTGCCCATGTTCTTAATGACAGAGATCTCCGAGTCACCCTACCACTCTTCAAATTTACATTTCAAAGAACTTTACAAAGTGCTGCATTATTTCTAACTACTCTTTAGAGATACAGAAATTAACACAGAGTCATTTGCCAAGGTCAGCTGTAAAGTCAGTCGCAGAGCTAGAACCAACTCCTCTCTCCCAACTCCTGTCACAGTGATTTTCAAAGGAAGCATGTATTTGATCGACGCATGTTCCTTGCAAAGTTGAGCTTTCCCCGGGGAGTGGGAACACCTACAAAAGGTGGCTATAAAAATGTACTGCATCTCTTGATGCTGAGGGGAAGTCCCATCTTACATGAAAAGTCTCCTCTGAAGCTGTCCAAATTACCAGAAGAGCTCTGGGACCACAACACTGTTACATCCCAAGCACCGAGACAGGCAGCAGAGGCTCACACCAGTGTTGACTGAGATCTTAGCGAACTCTGCCGTGGAATCACAGAATGGCAGGGGTAGGAAGGGACCTCGGGAGATCATCTAGTCCAACCCCCCTGCTAAAGCAGGCTCACCTAGTGAAGGTTGCACAGGACATTGTCCAGGCAGGTTTTGAGTATCTCCAGAGAAGGAGACTCCACAGCCCCCCTGGGCAGCCTGTTCCAGTGCTCTGTCACCCTCAAAGTAATAAGTTCTTCCTCATATTCAAATGAAACCTCTTATGCTTCAGTTTGTGCCCACTGCCCCTGGTCCTGTCACTGGGCACCACTGAGAAGAGTCTGGCTCCGTCCTTGTGACATCCACCCTTAAGATATTTTTAAGTATTTATGAGGTCCCCTCTCAGTCTTCTCTTCTTCAAGCTAAACAAGCCCAACTCTCTCAGTCTTTCCTCATAAGAGAGAAAATATTCTTTTTTAATGCAAGTCAACATAGAACTGACAAAACCTCATCATCTAGACCTTTGAAAACTTCTCCCTGTAAATCCCAAAACAAATGGACCACACGGGAAAAGGGTTTTCTACATGGATCGCTCCCAAGAAATGCGCCATCTTAAATATACACACATGCACAATCTAAAACCTGGCCATAATAGTGATCAGTACAAGCACACAAACCTGGCAAATGCTTCCCTGATAAATTAAGGATAAAAAAAAAAGCTCTGGAAAAACTTTAAGCGACTTGAAAAGCATCTGATGAAGCAGACAACAATGCAGTTTACTGCCAAGAGAGACAAAAAAGCTTCTCCCAAAAAAACCCCCTTGCAGCCTCTGAGAGAAGGTTTTGCCAGTAGATGTTGCCAGGGATAAAAGGTGCCTCGAAGAGGGGTAAATACACAAGTACGGCTCGCTGCAACTGTATGCAGCAGCACATGCAATATGCTCCACAAACCACAGAGCTGACCCCAGGGTTTTTAAAACACATCAGGTTGTTACTCGCAAAAAAAAAAAAAAATTCTATTTACTATGGCAAATTTACAGATTTACTTTACTGAAAGTACAAATGAATCAGTTATGAAACACAGCCTCTTAGGTGGCTAAACTGTGCTTGTCAGTTGAAACAGGTGTAGTGCATTGAACCAGAAATTGTGTTTCTACAGCAAAAAGCAGTGATAAAAATATTACCCTTCCTTTTCATCAGCTCTTTTTCTGCACATCTTCACCCCGTTTTTTGGATGGGATTTCTTTAGGTCTCATTTTGCTTTTACTAGTTGAAAAGCATCATGACAGCAACTGAATCTCACTCTCTCCTCTTCCATTGCAGCGTTGCTTACTGGCATTACGTACAGTCTGCATCCCTGAAGACAGGCAGTGCTAAAGATATGCTTATTATTTTTAATATAAAGGTGATGTTGAAGGAATCCAGCTTTACTTTCATACTCAAAGTGTAGCTTGTACGTTCTTCATACAGTACATAGAGCATAAAATCCACACTTTCTCAATGCCAGGCAATTGAAAATAGCTTAAAACTAAAATTATACTAATAGCAGTTAGTACTTAATTAATTTAGCAATAAAAATCTTCAGAAAGTCTTTCAGACACGCTCATGGCAATTTAAAGTGAAGCCTGTTAAAGGGCTTACTTTTATCAGGTTTTTCTAGTTGTAGCTGGCTTTCTGAAGGATGTGCACTGCGATTTAAATAACATTTTGCACCTACACAGCTACTTTCACATGGGACCTACTGATCACATTTTAAAACTGCATTATAAGCTGGGCATTACCAATACAATTTTACAATTCAGTCACAGAGATTAATGCTGAAGTTATCGAAACTTGGTATCTAATTTTATGCTCTACAACCACACTTAGGAATTTATATAAAACTGAGCATCAGTGCGTGCTGTAGCTGATCAACACACCTCTGGAAAAGGAAAGACACGATGGCCAACACCAGGTTTCTGAGTGTCATCTTTCTGACGAAGGCCTAAGAGGAAAACTTCTGAAGGAATGTTAATAAACTTCAAAGAAACCTATCGGTCATTGGCTTGCTTGAGCAACAAATTCACATTTCTGTAACCTATTAGCTACCAATCTGGGCTTCACTTCTTTGCGTTGCCTATGACCAGTGGTAACATTCAAGGGGTTTTACTCAGTTCCGGCAAAAACCAAACCAAAACAAAAATAAAAGCGACAAGGGACCTGCTGGAGCAAAACCAGCCTCAGAAGGGCCCATCCTCAGTCGCCTCAGGTTAACAGGAGCTTTGCCATTATCTACAAAGAGGTCAGAATTTGATTTGCAGTGAAAACGCATTTAATGGTCACTCTCACAGGCCAAGACAAATCTCTTCATGAAGTCAGCACAGCCCTTTTGATGTGATGGAAGTTTTGCCCTGACAAAAGCAGAAGAGATGAGCACTAAAAGACTAAATTGCTAAAGAGTTAATTGAGTAATGCTAAAGAGTGAATTGAGTTGCCTGCTGAGAGGTCCACAGGCTGACCAGCCCCAAATTCCACCTGCCCATGGGATACAAAAGCACAATGTACAGGATTCCAAGACAAGACAAGAGTATTTAAACATCACTTAGTACCGCTCTTATTTAATCAAGTATTGAAGGGATGTGAAAGACTACAGCTTATTATACAGTTTTATAAAAGTGTACTCACCGATGCTGGCACCTCTGCAGTTGCCGTTATTAGAATCCATAGGGAAATCTGGCACAGATTCATAAAACATGTGAAGAAATGTTAGTATTTTTAATATTGGACTATTTCAATACACCAACATTACAATGTTTTCTCTTTCTCTAATACTTAGTATATTAAAACTTAATAACTTCATTAACTAATGGATTATAATGTTCTACATGCCTGTTCAAAGCTGACACGATTTCTCATCTGAACTTCACCCGAATCCAGCACATCATGTTAAATGCTGAGGCGGATTAAACATCCCATTTCTACTGGTGCACAGGCTGGCAGGTTTAGGATAAGGATGGAAATTTATGGCATGAACTTACGAGCATCTACAAAAAGTACACGTACTGTTTGCATTTAATTAGATGATGAAGGAGAAATTACTTTTGGTTTGTTTTTTTGGTTACTGAGGAAATCAAACCAACCAACCACAATCATATCATTGAAGCAAATGCCAAAGCAAATGTTTCAGAACTTCCCCATCCTTTCAGTTTAAAAACATACTGGTTATTCTAAAGGACAGATAAGGGACAGAAGGGAAAAAAGGCACTATGCCCAAAGAACTGCTTTTAGACACATTCGTAAGTGGAATGTGTCCCAGATTAGTAAAATGCATCATTTCAAACCTATTGTTTATTAAATCTCACAATTTAATGGATTTATACATATACTTCATCATGAAAAACAAGTATGTTAATGCATATAATGTTGTACAAGTTAACGAAAAAATAAATGCAAGAGAAACAAGACTTGGAAGAGAGGCAGTATACTTTATTAGAATGACACATGAAATGGAGAAACAAATGAGCTTTCAAATAAAAAGCCCTTCTTTAAGCGTGCATGAACAAATGTTTACACAGCTTTTTCAACTCTGGAAGCTGGTATCATACAGACGTCATCCTTCTTATACCCTTACATTACCATGGATACAACACTGCTTTCACAATACAGAACAAATGAACATGTAACAAAAGTTCCTCTCCTACAGCTGAAGCTGTAAGGATCTGGCTGTAACACAGCCCAAGCCACTGATGATATTTGGTACAGGTGAAGGCTTTACAGGTGTGTGCTAAATTTTAAGGGCTGAGGACATTATTACATTATTTAATCACAAGTTCTGTAAACATGTATTTAAAATACCCGTTTACAAGAGATCTAATATTGCTTAGTTGATCTTCGAATTTGGCCACCCTTAAAAAAAAAATCTCCATCTTAATGCATGTTTATACTTCTTATAGCAACATGAAACTTCCTTCACATAAATGGAGATATGGCTAAATGACAGAGCAAGAATAAATCTGAAAAACAACTAATTCCCTTACTAACATAATAATAAACTTTAAAAAAATTTGAGACTTCAGGAGTAATTATTCCTACCAACATAAAGAGCATAGAACAGATTGAATAGATGCCCTTTTAAATCCAATATACTGTTGCTAATAAAAATCACACCCATTTTCTTCCAAAGAAAGTTCCAAACTACCACAGGATCTTAGCTTATAGAACAAACCCAACATTTGCATGGAGCCCATTTGGTCTTCGGCTATCAGGGGCTTCCACAGCAGCTGTATGGATTCTCCACGCTGCCTTGTAACAAGTCCAATTACCCAAGCTAATTCTTATTTATGTCTTTCATTTTCATTATTCACCTGAGCTATCCTCAAATTTTAAAAAAGCTGTTGTTATCAGGTAGTAATTAAAGATCGTGACCCCTACCAATAGTATATGGTAAAAACCAAAACCAAAACCAAACCTTCATCAAATTTAAATGCATTTTATGTTGTTTCAAGTGCATTCTTGTATTCCAGGACAGGATGAAAGAGCAATTAAAATGGTCTTGTTCTTGTAAAACTGTTAAGTAAAAGGATGACCACATTTCTTCTCATTCTTCCTCTCCTGGGCCAGTCCTCTGTTGTCTTGTTCATTTAGCCAAACCTGCAATTCCTTCTGACATGCTAACAGCATAGAGAGCGCTCGTGTCTGTAGCCTGATAATCCTTCCACCTGCAAAACCCCCCAGCCACCTACCATGGAGAGGTGGCCCTGCCTCTCCATGTGCCTAAGACTGGCCCGAGATGTTTCACCACTCTCCGGGCACTGAAGACGCCAGCAAAGAAGGCTCTCCAGATTTGCTGCCCCTCTCGTTCAGTTGCCTCGGCCAACTTCCCAGGTTGCCTTCAAGGCTGGCTGGCTTCGCACATGTCCAGTGCAACTCTTTGGGGCTTCATATGGCCCAGCAAAGCTACAATTCCTGCCAAAATAGGTACTTCAGTTATGACTGAATGGATGGCGCGTTCACGCTTCCAAAGCACATTCCCTGTGCCAACAAAATTGTTACTGGGGGCAGAAAAACTTTTCATCAGCAGAGGAGGCAAGGCAAATATATTAGGCTGAATGCTTATCATCTTCACATCCATGGAGGGAACAGGGAGGAAGAAGAAGCCCTGAAGTGCACTCTCCTTTCCTAAACCAAGGGCTGATCCAAGCAGCCGTGATTTCATGGTGTTTGAGCAAACCAAGTCCAATTCACAACTAAACAACTAAACAAAACTACAACTACAACTAAACAAAATCCAGAGCCCAGTAAGGGGTCTGCAGCCTTCCCTGGCCCCACTTGGGGGTACGAAGCTCACGTGTATTGGCTGAGGAACCATCCTTCAGACTTACACCGATGCAAGGGGGGGCTGGTAAACACTCAATGTGCCCAATATAAACCCGGTCCTGAAAACACTGAACTAAACTGCCTTCCACCAGATGTTCCCTTCCACTCCTAAGTACACAGCTTGTTTTATTTTTACCAACTTACAACTCACCACAGCCCGTTTCCTAATTCTGCCTTCATTCGCAGGTCACTTGTCCTACCCCAAACCAGTGGTTGTGGGTATCTGACAAAGCAGCTGGCTGTACAACAAGAGTAATTAAGGTACACGCAGAGCATCTATTAATGGAAATGGCTCCCATTTCTGTGCCTTCACGAAGGCTGCGGTGCATGGCGCGTTGTGCTCTGCAATTGTGGTCAGAGCACAGTGTCTGTCAGTGAGCAAAGGAGGAGTAAACAGGTACCCATACGTCGCTCCATGATTCATTTCCCTACTTGCGAGGGCTTGGGCCAGGCAAGTATTGACCTTGCCTTGATGCTTATCTTTCCCAGTGCACTCACGCTTATTTAGGGATGAGCAGTCTCTACTGATGGAGAGTAGCGTGCACTTGCGGAGAGGACTGGAGTCCTCCACCACTGTACAACACATCTCAGGAAAGGCTTCCCATCTCCCTGATCCTTCCCCCATCTTCCTGATCCTTCCCCCACCCAAGCTCATACTGCCTGGTCCCTTGTCATATACGGGGAAGCGATCAGAGAAAGTGTCTAGGCTAGCCCTGCTACACCAGCCACTTGCAAGGTCTTAGCGTGAGCAACCACGAAATCCCATCCCCTGACCCCAGCAGTCTAACGGGCAGGGACTTCTGAGCTCCATCAGGAGATGCACACTGCTTAGACCTCCAGCTGTAATGCAGACAGAAAAAAAAAAAAAAGATGTTTTTAAAAATAAAAAACTGACTTCCTATTATTCACCCTGTCTTCTGAAGCAACCTCTCTGCCAAGTCTATGCAAGACAATCTTTCTGAAAGAAATATCTGTCAGCGATAATTAGCAGGATTGCCAAAGAGGAAATATCCAGAGCTCCAATCCAAAGGCTTCCTACTAAATTTTGTTTAAGTGCAGGGGAAAAAAATCCAAACTGATTTTTCCAATAAGCCATTTTAATTAATTGCTTTTCAGAAGGATGCTATATAAAAACCCCAAACCACTAACCAGGAGAGCAGAGTAAGAGCCACTTGCATTGTAACTGTACAAAATAACAACGCCTGTATCACAAATTCGGATGAGAGGTTTGGGAAAAGAAAACAAGTTGGTAAGACTTAGTTTTGAGCAAATACCTTACTTGTATCACAGTGTAAATTAAAAAAAAAAAAAAAAAAAGCAGAGAAAAGAGCCGAAAGTAACACCATCCTGATTGTCGCTGCAATTAAAGAATACGGACCAGCTATTACTGAAGCCATTGCAGGCACCCAAAGAACAAACCCACAGCGAGCAAATGCTGCTTGGGCACTTTCTTCAGGCGGAGACACCCCTGAGCCCCACTGATTAATAAACCTTCAAATATGCATGAATTCAGACTTTGTAATCTACTTCAGGTCTTAACACAGAGAGGAACTTTGCTAATGTGATTGCAAAAACATGCATAGCAAGGCAAAGTAATAGGAAAATGGATGCTCGTTACAATTTGATACAGATCGCTTGAACTTGCAGAGCAGCCTGCAACACGACAACACAGCCGCTCCACATAATGAATTATTCCACATAACAAACCCTGCTGGGGTTTGATGACATTTAACGGCCTAGGTCTTGACTTGATGTTTAGGCCGTAAAAGTCATTTTAGGGGACTCAGCCTACAAAGGCAGACAAACTGAAGGGACAGTAAAACACCATCAGTGGTATCATTGTTAATAAGGTGTAAACATACTCCTATTTACTTTTCCTATCTTCTTTAAGGCTTAAACCTTGTAATGATTTTGTTCTTTAACTGAGAAAGGAAGCTGCTTCCGACTTTTGAGCAAACACCTAAAACAAATCTCAACTTTAAAATGACAACTTGGGCACGACTGCTCATCCTTGGTACAGTCTGGAACACTCTCATAACATCGCTGCGCATTTCGGCTACTATAAGTAGAACTATGCAAAGTCTGAGTCGCAGCAAATTTCATCTGGAGTCTGGAAATTACTGTTTTGGAAATGAAGTTAATAACGTGAAAAACAAGCATGGGAAACAGCGCTCTCACTTTTCTTTCAAGCATATCACATGCTGGATTACTATGAATTCACCTAGGCAGACAGGCAGGTACAGTGGACTTGACCTACACGGAGAAATCATGGGTTCATATCAGATTTAAGGCAGTAAGTCTCCATCACTTGAATAACCTGCAATTTTCTTTAATGTTTAAGAGGTAGTATTTTTTTTTAAGAGACTCAGAGTTGTCCTC